TAATACCTTATTTCTATTACTTTGGATGTGATTTATATTGATTTAGATGCAAATTTACAAGGAATTGAATCTGATTTGTGTAAAAAAGAACTATAGGTTTGATGATCTTGTAGCTTATAACTTGCATATCATTAATTGTTCAACAACTGCAGCGTGGCATACATTGAAAATTTATGTGGTTATAAGTTCATAATTCGTTTATTAATGAATTTTTTTTTTCTTAACGAAGAAATGTTTTCAACTTGGGTTGATTACTTGAGATTATCATCTGAATCAAGTTAAATCTTATTAAATTTAGAATAGCCTGGAAACTACTTCCCTTGTGAATCGCAGCGAGAAAATGGTTAGCGGTTGGTACACTTATTAGTCTTCATTTATAACTATGCTGATGTGTTGATCATTTTCGAAAAGAAAACTTGTCTAAGTTGGCACAAATTCCGATTCTCCCCGTCTATGGACCAGTTTACACGCATCTTTATTAATCCCTTGGAGTTTATTGAATATACTACAAGTCCAATGTATCAGGTGAGCACAAATCTAATCCCCGAAGTTCATTAAATATCCTACAAGTCCAATGGATTAGGTAAACACAAATCTAATTCTCGAAGTCCATTGAATATCCTACAAGCTCAATTAACTAGGTAAGTCACAAATCTAATCCCCGGGATCCATTGAATATCGTACAAGCCCAATAAACTAGGTAAGTCATAAATGTGGTAGATAAATCACAAATCTAATCCCCGGAGTCTATTGAATATCCTATAAGCTCAAATGACCAGGTAAGGCACAAATCTAATCCCTGGAGTCTATTGAATATCTTATAAGCTCAAATGACCAGGTAAGTCACAAATCTAATCCCTGGGTCAATTAAATATCCTACAAGCCCAATAGACCAAGTAAGTCATAAATATGGTAGGTGGTCATTTTGTAGGACTCGAATATAAGACCTCTGGATAACCCAAAGTCTTGCCATCCGATCACAATCTAAGTGGTTTATCGAGCTTTCTTTCTTTTAATGAATTTCCTTGAAAATATATACATTACTTGTAGTGTTACAAAAATTTTCTTTGATTGTCATGGACAGCTTAGATTTTTGTTATTGAACTTATAATATTTTATTTTTAATATCTCTGGTTACAAGTTTATATATATTCTGAAGTAGGGAGGAAGGGAATCAAATTATCTTGTTACATTATATATTAATTTCCTAAGAATAATATACCAAATTGCGATTATATTGTGCAGAACTTTGATAGCAACTAGAATTAGGCACAGTATCTTTTCATTCATTGTGCCTAAATAACCACTCCATCAGTCCATGATCTGATGATCCATTCATCCACGTGTAAGATGTCCAATACCCAGATTGACAAAAGATGTGGAAAAAATATAAAACAACTTTAAAATTTGGTTCGGACTTCGGACGCAAGACTAAATTCTAATTACTTGAAGTCAATAATAGCCGACATTAGACTTCGTTCACATTACCAAACAATTAAACTTTATAAAACCACATACCAGCAGCCAGTATCACATCCTTCCAAATTGCCAACAGCTCCTTAAATTTTCTCCTAGTCATCTAGTCTCTAGCCATGGTAGAAAAAGAGCAAGTATGGCCACTAGCTCTGGCCACGGACCGTTTGAGCAGCGACGATGGGGTGTCGGGTTTAACTGCAAAGAAAGTTTGCCGCAGAAAATGCATCAAATGTTGTGGTTCCGTCGCTGCTGTATTGCTCATCCTAGCGATAGTGATGATCATTCTAATTTTGACGGTGTTCCGTGTGAAGGATCCTGAAATAAAATTAAATAGCTTTACAGTAAGTCAGCTTCAACTAATTAGCGGTACAATTCCGAAGCCTGGTGTCAACATGTCATTTATAGCAGACATTTCTGTGAAGAATCCAAACGTAGCTTCATACAGATACAGTAACACCACCACAAGCCTTTATTACCAAGGCATGTTTGTGGGTGAAGCCAGAGGGCCACCCGGCCGCGCCAAGGCCCAACAAACTTTGCGCATGAATATGACGGTGGATATTATCACAGACCGGTTGTTGTCCAGCCCGAATTTGCAATCGGATTATGCGTCTGGGCTTTTGCCTGTGGACAGCTACTCGAGAATTGGTGGAAGGGTGAATATTTTGAATGTTTTTAAGAGGCATGTTACCCTGACCATGAATTGCAGCATGACATTTAATATTTCCAGCCAGGGAATTCATGAGCAGAAGTGCAAGAAAAAGGTTGATCTTTAGAGTTTGACTGCTTATTATGCCTATGATAGCAGTTTTTGACATGTAAAATACGGTAGTTTTGCCTTTTGTCTTTGATTTCCGGTTATTATGATTTTCTGTATGCTGTAATTTTCACTCTGTATATATTATTGTACTCTTCTTAGTTTCATTTTAATCATTAACTTTAAATCAACTTCACCTACTTCAGGATTGAACTTAAAGCAGATTCAACCTGAAATAATTGGACAAGAACAAGGTCAGATTAAGTAATAATTAACACATGCAGAATTTCTCTTCAGAAGGCCTGCATAAATGGGGACTGAAACAATTCAGATCTATGGTGGAAGATTAGCAAACAAATTGTTTTAAATGGCATTTTACTGCTTTCCGGTGGTCAATAATAATATCCTAGACTGAGTCAAACCACTTGGTTCTTTGATGCTTCCTTCCTACAGCATGATTAACTCACTACTCAAAGCTAAAAAAGAAAAGAGACAAATTCAGTTTTTTCTGATCGGATTTTGGAGTATCATAACCATGCCTTGTTTGGTTGCCTGTTAAATTTCTTCTGGCGTGACCATACAGGCACACTTTCTTACTTAGTTCATGCCTTGTGTCAGACAGGGATCTTTATCATTTTCCAAAAGAAAACTTGTCTAAGGGAGTAGGATTGTTCTGATCATAAACCGTCCAACTTTGATCGAATTCTGGTCTTTCTGAATAGAGGGACTTTTCCATCGTCTGCAAAAGATTCTATGACGAGCAAAGAAATTTAACCGAATTCCTGTTCATTATTCTAGAATATGATTATAGTCCACTAATTTTGCTTTACTTTTAATAGACCTGAAAGTGCCAGATGAACCAACTGAAAAGCAGTAAAGCCTTTTTCTAAATTATGATGGTTACATTACAAGTAAACGAAGTCAGCCAAATTATATCCACTTCATGGGCCAAACTCCCTACTTCTTCCACCATTACACATTCATATATGCTGGCAAGAAAATACGCCAATAGTTGGATAACTTCTGTGGAACGCTACACTGATATGGACAACATTTTACCCAACTATAATTTTAAAACGAAACTGGGATTGGGGCCCAAATCTTCATAGTTGATTTGAATTACTCAAAAGATTTTTGTTTTGCAAATTAGCAAAGAGACATGTATAATATATATATATATAACAACACGAGAACAGAGGAGAATTGATTACTTGTTTTGGTAAATTAACATCATGTGAGCACCTCATATTAAAAACTTTATGCTAATTATTTTCTAGGTCAATGCAGTTTTCTCGGATTAATGGGTATTTTTGCAATTTTCTTGGGTATTTGGAACTTGGAAGCTACCAAACCCAATGTTAAGAAATAAAGAAAGATTCGTTGACCAGACACCACAGAAAGCTCAAAACATTGCAGGATTCATGTGAACTTTTGACCCGCTGAAGAATAGTGGTTTTTGTTCAGAAAATCGATAAATATGAAGAGGCTGCGGGAAAAAAAAGTGTTGGAAGAGAGAACTTTACTTTGGAATTAAAGATGCAATGGACCACAGTCTTATCTTGGCCCCGCCAAGTTGCAGCTAATTTTATCAATCTTTGCATACAATTGATTATTGAGTGTAGAAGGGTAAGTTTTAAAAAGAAAATAATGTACAATGCATTTATAATTCACTAAAGAGGTGATAAAGGAATAAAGGACGTTTTTTTTAAATAAAAGTTTTTCTATTGGAAGTATTTTAAACAATATCCTTAGTTATTTGTTCAAAAGAGTGAAGACATCTTATTAAATTTAGGAAGATCAATAATTACTCTCCCACTACCTAACAAACCCACGCTTAGCAAAGCTAAATAAGAATTATTCAAAAAAAAAATAAAAAAAATAAAAAAATAAAAAAATAAAAAAAATTAGAGCATCTAACAATTGTATCTGGGTCCTCAAGTTCGAGTCACAACGATTGTTAATAAAAGTGGTCATTAGAACTCTTATCGGATTAATAATTCAAGATTTTATGAAATTAATTGAGATGCATGCAAATTGATCTAAACACTCTCAATCATTAAAAAAAAATAAGGTCCTAAAACTGAACCCTTTCATGCAAATGACTCAGGAAAGAAAAAGAAATGAAGTAAGCTCCTAGTTTAGGCCAGAATTTCCAGCACCAAATTCTGTTAATCTGTTTATGATTTGTTATCTGTGATGGATATTCAGTTTGAGTATCTATATTGGGCCAAAACACTGGGAAACTATCTATGTTTTATGATCTTTTAAATTATAATGCTGCTTTAGTAATACCCAACTAAACTAGATTGTTATTTGGAGATAATATTTGGTTGATACGTAATTAACTTTTAAGATTCTTTTTTGCCATGGCCGGAATCAATCAGTTTATTTTTCTTACTAATCTTTGTTTCATATTATAAAAAAAGAAAAACTAGTACACTTTCAGACTGTCTTACAAAAAGGACCGAATTGGGGTGTGTCGGATTTGCTTGGTTCATGCGAGAAGAAAGATTCCAGCATGTTATAGAGTTGACCAATAATCCCAGAGTGAGAAACTGAAAAAAATCTCATTGAAAAGGTTATTATTTTGTAATGAGCAATATGTTTCATGTAATGAGGGGAAGATCGCACTTGAAACACAAACAGACACAATATGGTAAGAAGAGATTCAAAAGTCATATAGTTATACGCACTAATTAAAAATGAAGTCATAATATATTCTCTTGAACACACTCACAACTCACATAACAAATCATAATAAATGTCACCCTCTGTTTCCAAACCTAGTATTAAATGCTGCAGCTGGAAAACCCACCCACCTTCCACAAAAAACCTCCCCTAATCTTGTTCACCTTTTCCTCTCTCTAAATGGATCCTCCAACACCTTCAAATGTCCACTCCAACTCCCACCACAACCGCTGCTTCACCACCCAATTACCTAGCAAACCTTGGCCTTGGCTATTCCATTGCCATTGCTCTTGGTTTCTTGGTTCTTTTTTCTACTATTCTTCTTGCTTCTTACATCTGTTGCCGTTATTCTCGCCATCGTAATTCTAACCCTCAAAACAATAATCCAAATATTACCAACAACCCTAACTCTGATGGAATCATTCTCCCTCGTGTATTTTTCGTTGCTGAAGATGATGACCAAGACCAAAACCAAGATGATGATAACGTAGTTGTTGGTTTAGACCAATCTGTTATCAACTCATATCCCAAGTTTCAGTTCACTAAAGATAATATTTCCGGTGGTGGTGTTAATAGTAATAACACGACCTGTTCGATCTGTCTTTGCGAGTACAAAGATTATGAGATGTTAAGAATGATGCCCGAGTGTCGACACTATTTTCATCTCTGTTGCATTGATGCTTGGTTAAAGCTTAATGGGTCCTGCCCCGTTTGTAGGAACTCACCGTTGCCGACCCCACTTTCTACGCCGTTACAAGAGGTCGTGCCGTTGGCCCAATACGCTGCGGATCGCAGGAGGAGGTGATATGGGTTTAGTTTGGTTTGGGTTCTTTTTTTATTTTGAGTTGGGTGGGTGATTTGGGAGTTTTGTTTGGTGTGTTTGGGCGTGGTTTGGATAATTGTAAAATTTTTAAGTTTGTTTTAATTTTTTAAAAGGACGTAGTAATAGTGTTATAGGGGTTTTTGTTTGATGGATTGTGATTTTGATTGGTTAGGTATTTAGAGTACAAAAGATATGACTGAGTGATGCTTTTATGTTCGGCAGAATTGATAATCAACTGAGTAAAGTTAATCATCTGATTTTTTATTTTATTTTTGATTTGATTCATATATTCAAGATATCCAGTTTTTTCTAGCTGAAACTTCTTTTCATTCTAGAGTATAATGTGAACAAGGAGTTTCTTCTCTTACTCGTTTTACACAAGTACAGATCCAGCTGGTTCCCCCTCATTTCCCATTTGTTTCCAATCATTCTTTTGTCTTTTTATTGCTAATCCAGTTTAAAAACGAGTTTATACATATAATCTTCGGCATTGACGAAATGCATGAATTGTTTCTTAGAATTCAGGTTGTCTTCTTTGGTGATTATGATGTACCTTTAACACAGAATCCTATGGAGAATGCATACTACTTTATTTTCTCATATTAATATTCCTGTATTAAAGTGAAGTTTAGCTTAATTTGTTGGCAATTCAGAGAACCTAAAAACATTAAGTAGTTGATCCATAATCATGGACGGCTTTTAACTTCAGTGGTAGAATGCCAAGCTTTTTCTTCTATGATTTTTTTTTAACAGTTGTTGTTGGCCATCGTGTGCATATTATAGCACAATACTGCAGTCAGATGAAGTTGCTTCCAACCACTTTCTGTCAAACAGAAAAATACATTAATAAATTGAAAATTTCAGGCTTGTATTCTGCAAGACGTGTTCTTGGTTTCCTTGGAGCGAGCAAAAAACTTTACTCAATTCAAGCAATCGGATATTTTATTGGAAGCGTTGACTAGCTATCGTATGAGTATTGCTGACTTCCTAAACTTCAGTGGATTGCTTACTCCGCAGGAAATGCTCTCAAGAAGCGCAAAACCCAATGATATTAAAAATGAAGAAGAAAAAAAAAAGCTAGAGAACTCTGATCTCAAAAAATTCCAATCTCCAATTCTGCAATTAAAATATCTGAACTTCGTCTAATTCACCTCTCCCAAACCTTCCTCTGCTCACTCAGCCAATAGCTTTCAGCTTCAGGCTTCAGGTACTCTCTACGGTAATAATATTTTCTTAATTCTTGTCCTAATTTCTTATTGACTTGAGATGTAAATTTTGAGGATATCCAAAGTTCGTTTAGACTTGTTCCATAACTGTTGACTGTCACTCTTTTTTCTTGTAACTTCAAATTTTCGCTTAATTTTCTAATAAAGATAGAGATGCGAAAGCCAAATGTTGTCATGAAGTTAGGAACATTTAGAGGGGTTCGCAGCTCAATCTTTATTTTGGGGACCTTTGCTCTTCTCATTTCTATTGCTACATTGTCCAAGTTCTACTCTATAAGATCTCTTCTTGTTACTGATACCTTCTGTAATCACATTAACCGTGAGAGTCAAAGCATGATTGGAAATGAAGTGAGAGTGACTGTTGACATTGTTGTTCAGAAAATCCAGAAAGAAATGAATGACGTTAGAGATTTGCTAGTGGATTCTCCTTCTTCATCACCGCCACATTTGTTGAAATACGGTGCTTTTCTCGCAGATATCCTGGGGCTTATTGAGTCAGTTCAGGCATCTTTGCCTTCAAATGAAGGGACTCATGAGCATAACAATGATTTCAAAGCTGTCCATCCTCTGTTAAAGCCAAAGCAACAATCGGATGAACTGGCTGATTACTTCTTTATAGAAGAGATACGCAAGTATGTAAAGATCAAGCCCAACAGATTAGGGAAACAGAACTTCATGGGAGCTAATGCAACCTTCACTAGCATTGGCCACGCTTGTTTTGCCATGAAGAAAGAGCTTGAAGAGTATATGGATTACGATGTTGGTGAAATCTGTAATGATGATTGGAAACTAGCTCAAAAGCTGATGGTTCATGGTTGCGATCCATTACCCAGAAGGCGATGCTTCTCCAGAGCTCCTCAACTATACATGAAACCATTCCCCATCAATGAGTCAATGTGGAAGCTTCCTGACAATCGAAATGTTCGATGGAGTCAGTATAGATGCAAAAATTTCACTTGCCTCGCGAATAATACAACTCATAAGGGGTTCTTCAAGTGTGCAGATTGCTTTAATCTTTCTGATCATGAAATGCCCAGATGGATTAAACAAGTGGAATTAGACCCTATTACTAATTTAACTGCAGACTTTTTGATACCTGAAGTGCTTGATATCAAGCCTGGGGAGATCAGAATTGGATTGGATTTCAGTGTAGGAACTGGAACTTTTGCAGCCAGGATGAAGGAGTTCAATCTCACAGTAGTGTCAGCTACTGTCAATCTTGGCGCACCTTTTAGTGAAATGATAGCTCTAAGAGGGCTTGTTCCTCTATACTTAACAATAAATCAGAGGATCCCATTCTTTGATAATACTCTGGATATAATTCACACAACAAGGTTTCTTGACGGATGGATCGATTTTGTGCTCCTGGACTTTATATTATATGATTGGGATAGAGTTTTGAGGCCTGGGGGATTGCTTTGGATTGACAGTTTTTTCTGCTTGAAGGAGGATTTGAGTGATTACTTGGAGGCCTTTAAGGTGCTAAGATATAAGAAGCATAAATGGGTGATTGTTCCAAAGCGAGATAAAGATGATCGAGAGGTCTTTTTCTCTGCTATATTAGAGAAACCACCAAGACCATTCCGATGATCAAGTGAAGTACATCAATTTATGACATTAATTTATATGTTATCTAATATTTTATTAATTTCACATCTTTGCATTGCAATTGTTTTATTATATAGTTTACTTAAACTATTGGATTCTTTTGTGCAAGTAACAAATCACTAACTCTTTAGAAATGCTTCCCCACATAAACTACCAACTAACCCAAAGCTCAAAGTCAAAATTTAATCAAGGAAGAAGCCACAATCACATTTTATTTCATTAGTCACTCCTTTTTTCCTTTTTAAACATGCATGCTTCTGATTGTGACTCAATAACTCGATAAAATTCTTGAATCTGCATTCTGCAACCACCCAAAGGGGGACTTGATCTGCCACCAATCAGATTTTTATTTTATACATGCAACAAACTAGTATTTGTTTGTGAAATGAGAGGACAATAGGATGATGGCCCTACTAAATTAATGTTTACTATTTCATCAATTTGAAGACAAACGTCTCTCTCCCAATTTTGTATTCCCGAAAGGGGAATTTTCGTCTTGTCATAATGAAATATTTTGCTTTATGGTTTACATAAATGTCACTTTCATATATGTCCCTAGTTTTACACTATTTTACAATTTTGTGACTGTTAGTACCTCAATGTCAATGGGTATGTATGTCCATAAATAACTTCACTCCCAAAATCTTCTTTTAAACCATATTTTGCATCCATAGCATGATTGTATTATATGTGGGATTTAGTTATTAGTGTTTTATATCTGAATTGAAAAAATAGAATTATATGCTCTTCTTTGTTTCACTCTTTTTTATCATTTTTCGGTTATCCTAATTAGACTAAAAAATAGAATATGTATTTGTTTATTTGTTGGGATCATTATTCTGAAAATTAATCATAATCAAATAAATTTTTTTTGTATTGAAAATGAAAAGGTGGGACTTGTTTTCAATCATTCTATCCAACTCAAATCCATTTTTTAGAGTTATGGAGGCTATTTGATCGTAAACATACTTTATAAATGTGCATTCAACCGCCCACATTGACAACGTAAAATCAAATTGTAAAACTAAAATCCCTAAACTCCCAACCCCTAACGATTTTCACCAGCAATTCATCTCCAATCGAAGACCCTCGCCATCCCTTCTCCAATCGACCGGAGACGCCATCCCTTCCACCGAACGGCGACACCTTCAGTGTAACAATTGACCCGCGACGCCATCTCTTCCATCACACCTCCACCATTGCTGATCGGTGAGTTTTTACCAAAGATTGTATTTTACTCATTTTTGATATCTGGGTTGGGCTTATTCTGTCAATTTGCTATCTGGTTTTGCTTGCTTAGTTAATGTGTTTTGGCTTTCTGGGTTTGGTCTCATTGCACAGTTTTTAAGTTCCCATTTCAAGTTTTTGGACCTTGATGAAGATGAATTGCAACCTGATCTGGAAAGAGTATATGGGGAAAAACGATCAGAAGATGCATAGATAAGAAGAAGAAAAAGGTTCGTGAAAACCCATTTTGGGCTAGGATTGATAAACTGATAGAGGCTATTACTGAGAAGAGTTTGGGATCTATGGTGCCCTATCGCAATGGAGGTGCGAATGCACAAGAGAACGGAAGAGCTGCAACTGATTTATATTCCATGGCAAACTGTCAGCAGATTTTGACAAGTATGGAGTTGGATTTCAGCATATTCATCGGGGCTGTGAAGTTCTTAGTTGACAAGCCGGCATGGCGTGAAATATTTGTGAACATGCCACCAGAGCATAGGGCATTTTGGGTGCATCATGACTTTAAAACAAGCGCTGCAACTTTATATTCCATGCCAAACTGTCTGCGGATTTTGACAAGTATGGAGTTGGATTTCAACATATTCATTGGGGCTGTGAAGTTCTTAGTTGACAAGCCGGCATGGCGTGAGATATTTGTGAACATGCCACCAGAGCATAGGGCATTTTGGGTGCATCATGACTTTAAAACAAGCGCTGCAACTTTATATTCCATGCCAAACTGTCTGCGGATTTGGACTAGTATGGAGTTGGATTTCAACATATTCATCGGGGTTGTGAAGTTCTTAGTTGACAGGCCGGCATGGCGTGAGATATTTGTGAACATGACACCAGAGCAAAGGGCAGCTTGGGTGCATCATGACATTAACAATTGACAGGTTTGTCTTTCGTGTTGAACAAATGTGTTTTATTTGTTGTTTGAGACTTATTCCTTTAACAGTTGGTATTTTTACTACCTTTTTATTGAAGACTTCAGTTATAACTTGATTAGAGATTTGATGAACTATTGTGGTTATTCCATAACTTCATTTGAGTTCTTATTTTAAGAATTGATGAAAATTGTGTTGTTCTGCGATGTGAAAGAACATGTTTTATATATGTTGAAGATTGTAATGTGATTTATACATTGAATGTTATTTTTTGCAAAGTACTGCAAATATGAATTGTTTTACAAATTGTTATAAATGGACAGATATAGATTTTTTCTAGGCGTACAAAGCGTCAGCGAAACCTTCAATGTGAAGAAGAAGAAGTTCTAGAAGATGTTGCAGCTGGATTGTGTGCGTTAGCTTTGTCCTAATTGTTAATGGAATATATGTGTAAGGATTTTAAGGATTGAACTAGTAGTTTACTATTATTAATTTAGATATGTATTTATAAAATTATGAACTTTCGATACCGTAATGTACTTTTATTTCTAGTTTTTAAATTATTTATTAGTAGTTGAAATTATTGTAGAGAATTTTTTTTTTTTATTTAGTGATAAAAAATTACCAAACAACTATTTAATATTATTTAAACTGAAAAAAAAAAGTTACATAATCAAATAATAAAATATTTTTAAAAATGTATCAAACAATTATCACATCATAAAAACCCTTTTTAAAAACATATCAAATAATTATTTATCATTTTATTTGACTCTTGATATGATTTTGAAATATTATATCAAATATATTTTTAGAATCTTATCGTATTTAATTCAACTTAAAATAAATTCCATAATAACATTTTTCTATAATCTACAAACAGCCTTGTGTTATCTACCCTTATTTTATATATTTTAATAACAGTAATATTACCCTCATAAATATTTCTTATTAATTTTTTCTCATAAACGCGATGTGTCGGCTCATAATTGGTCAGTTTGTAATAAGTTTTGTCTATCCAATATTGGGTCTCGCCTGACCAAATGTGAGTTAAGTAATTACAAACTGTCATATCAATGTTTGTCAACCTATGTTTATTCTTCCAAGGTCAGTTAGGGATAAGCACGGGTCGGGGCGCGGCCGGGGACCCTTGTCTCTGATCCCGGCCTGAAAGCCCAAGGGGATTCCCTGATCCCAGCCTGTAGCCTGTTCGGAGAATTCGGAGAATCCCCGAATAAAGCCGGTTCCCCAAACTCCTGAATTCCCTGTTTGGGAGTTTTGTGTCTTTTTATGCCCTTATTACCATTTTCTTCAAATTATAATATATCTTCCAAAAAAAAAAATTAAATCTATAGTGATTTATTGATTTATAATAATCAATCAAAAATACCAAATGATATATTACACGTATATAACATATATATTATGTATTAACATATGATTATAGATAATAGCATATTATGTATAATATATAACATATATACATTATACTTATATATCATGTATAATATATAATATATGATTGATTTTTAAATATTAAAATTAATATAGGTATATATAATATATATGATTGACTTTTTAATATATATATATACACTGGCTGGGTCAGGGATTTCGGGACGAAGAAAAAACGAGGCTAGAGCTGGGCAAGACCCATCTTGACCCCGACCCATCCTCGAATTTTGGGACTAATTTTGGGTCCAATCTTGAATGATTCGAGAAAACTCTGCCTCGTCCGGGTCCGGGTGGGACGGATCCCGCAGGCCAAAGTTGTATGCCCATCCCTAAGGTCAGCTAATAGGGAGCCCACTGATGTTAACTTCAACCGACAACTGGCCGTCCAAACGACACATCACTGCCATCCAAAGTGCCACGTGTCCCTTATCCCTTTTTACCAGGTCGGTGACTTTTCAAACATCCACCGTCTCTGTGCTGTCTCCACGTTTCGACATGAAGCGCTGATGGAAGAATCAACGTACACCACCACCGCCACTTAAAATCAAATCTAACGGCGTCTTCTCCTCGTACATGTATCAATATTAACGCCGTCAACTTTTTCATTTTAAATTTACCCGAACCTGAACCTCAGCCTCGTATTCATTATTTGTTTAAATAGGCCCACGAACACATTCACTCAGGTATCTAAAAATCAGGAGTCTCATTCATTTTTCACTTTATCTCACTGAAAAAGATTTTATTTGTGAACTAAATTAGGGTTTTCGTGAAACATGGCGGAGCAAGCGGAGCATAAGGAGAATCCGGCTGAGTCGATAATGGAGAAGATAAGCGAGAAGATACACGGTGACGATCACGATTCGTCATCGTCTTCGGATTCGGATTCGGATTCCAAAACTCAGAAACCGGCCTCCCCATCGTCAGTGAAGGCTAAGGTCTACCGTTTGTTTGGCAGGGAGCGACCGGTTCACCATGTTCTCGGTGGTGGAAAGCGTATGGATACTCTCTCATTCTTTTAAAGTCTATTTATATTTGGAGATTGGCTTAATTGTTTGTTTAATGACTTATTGTGAACATTTTTCGTTATTATTTAGAAAGTGAAATATTATTTTATAGTGATTTTTGAAACCTCTGTATGGTTGATGAAAAAAGAGCAGGAATATTGGAAAATGTAGGAATTTATTCAAATTTGAGATTCATTGATGTTGGTTGTTGAGAAATCATTAGTAAGGACAGAAAATCCTATACCAAAAGAAAGGGAATATCAAACCTAATATTATGGTTGGTGATTTTTAAGTTAATTTAGTGTTTTTTTTTTTTTTTTTCTTTATAATATCATATTCGACACGGTTGTTGATCTCTTGTAATGGTAATAAGGAGCAAGAGTTGAAGTGTCTTGTTTTTGTTTTCTTAACTGTAATTTCTGAGCAACTAACCAGAGATGTTTGCTTAGATTAGTTGATATAAATTATGGTAAGATTTTTGGGTGTTATTTTAGGCTCCAATCTCTCACTGTTTTTGTGTTTGATTTCTTACAGCTGCTGATGTGGTCTTATGGAGAAACAAGAAGATTTCTGCTGGTGTACTTGGTGTAGCCAGTGCAGTCTGGGTTCTGTTTGAGTTGATTGAATACCACCTGCTTACTCTGGTCTGCCACATTTCAATACTTGCACTTGCAGTCTTGTTCTTGTGGTCCAATGCTCAGAGCTTCATCAATAAGTAAGCTTTTGGCACTTAAATGCTTGTGCTCACTTAAGTAAACAATAACTTGAAATCTTTACTTCTTCTGTTTGTAGGGCTCCTCCTCGCATCCCTGAAGTTCATCTTCCTGAGGAGCCATTTCTACAGGTTGCTTCAGCATTGACGATTGAGATTAATCGGGCTTTGGCAGTATTGCATAGTATTGCCTCTGGAAGAGACTTAAAGAAGTTTTTCATTGTATGTTCATCATCTATCCGTATAACTTGTTTTTGAATGTTTTACCTTTAATAGAAATATGTTTCTAAAGTGCTTTACTGGTTTGAGGATCTTATGTAACCTCTAAACTTTGTTTTCCTGTTAGTTTAGATAATAGATACTTTAATATCAATGAATTCGTAATTATTTGTGGACAAAAACAGTATGTTCTTGATTGCTAGTTATGTTATTTGGCTCATACTGTCGTACTGTGCTCTGTTAATTTGGTGATGCTTATTTGATTATGCATTTTGGGAAGTGTTTATATTGTAATTATCTTTTGCTTCTGCTATCATTATTTTCATTTCATTGTTGATTTCTAAATTAAGAATTCTGTATATATTCTGGATGTCAGGTTATAGCTGCCTTGTGGGTCTTGTCCATTGTGGGGAGTTGGTGCAACTTCTTGACCTTGTTTTATATATGTAAGTACATTGGGAGCTCTTTGTGTGCTTATAGTAATAATTGTTTGTTAAATAAGATGCTCAACTTTAATCTTGATTTATAAATACAGCTTTTGTTTTGCTGCACACGGTGCCTGTTCTTTATGAGAAGTATGAGGACAAGGTTGACCCCTTAGCTGAGAAGGCTACGATTGAGATCAAAAAACAGTATGGTGTTTTTGATGCAAAGGTTCTGAGTAAGATTCCCAAAGGTCCATTGAAAGCCAAGCGAGTTTAGGTAGTCATGGCTGGTATTTGGGGATCCGGATGGCTGTGGGTATTACTGGTTGGTGATTCTGTTATCTAACCATATATTGGTTGTAATTGGCTTCCCCACAATTTGTTTCAAGTGTTTGGTTTGCAATTTGAACTGGTTTAGGCATTTTGTGGGGTTAGTTTTGAGTTGTGATTTTATTTGTCTGCTCTATGGTAGCTTACAGATAACACTTTTAACTATAGGTGATTCTGTGACAACGATGGTTATATTTTGATATTAGCAGTTTCTTGTACATGGTTTTGTATCACCAGGATAACTGTGATGCATGTTATTTTATGAACATGTTAGGCTTTTAAATGTTAGTATGAAATGCATGATGCTTGATTGTTTAGATTTATTGTTTTGAAAAAAGAATTCTATATTAAATTTTTTTATTTATTTGTGTGGGCATCAATGGTAGCCTTTTTTTCTCATCCAAGGTGACTTCGCTGATAATTCATTGCCACCATCCTCCCTGCCTACTCTCAAGCTATAGTTGCTTTGTTGGTATCGGTATGGTAAAAAGAAATATTTTTTTTATCCCAAAAAATTAATTCATTATCATTAATATTATTCTTTTGTCATTTTATATGACAGTTACGTAAGAGGCTGTAGTAATAATAGCTATCAATTCTCTGGTGATTTTCCACTTTGACAGCAAGGCTAAATCATGACAAAAAACTCCTCTTAATATTGTCGAGCCAGAGTTTGTCCATTTCCATTTGATTTGCATTTTAATATTTAATGTGCTGAAATACAGTTTGGTGTACCAAGTACAAACATGAGCTATAAAAGAAACACTTCTTATTTGTGTATAAAAAGAATTGACGGAACCAGATTGCATAGCTACAATATCAACAAAGAATCTATACCTTTGATTAATTACACAATTCAAC